GGCCGCGGCCCCGAGGGGCAGCTGCGGCGATCCGGGTCGGGCTACGAGGGTAGCACCAGCTGGAAGGCGGCCTTGGAGGGTAAGCGCGGAGCGGCCGCCACCCCTGTCCCGGGACCCGGACCCGGAGCGGTCAGAGTCACCTTGGCCGCTCTCCCAGAGGATGGAGGAGCGCGGCCCCACGACCCGAGCAGTCGCTCAGTTCAGGGCAGTCAGATGCATCTCGTGGGCCGTGGGGGCGGGTGTGTAGGTAACGGGGGCCACCTCTAGTCACAGCCTTGACACTACCTCTGCAGCAAACTGACTCTGCGACCTTGGGAGAAAGCCTCACACTCCCAGCCTTAGTTTCCTCAGGTGTGAAGGGGACACTTACTGTTTGGACCGCACCTGACCGGCACGTTGAGAGGGCGGCCTGAATCTGTAGCAGGGAAACCGCTTTGAACAAAGTCACAAAAGCTGTAGACCCCAGAGGTAGGGCCAGCCCCTGCGGGGAGCAGGGTGAAGGCAGGGTTGGTGTTGTAGGGCCTTGTGGGGGGTGCGGGGCAGGGGAGGGGTGGACAGGCCCTGACAGATTCTTCCTAGCAAGGTCACGGTGTCACCAACCCCTACCAGTCAGAATGGCTCAGGGAATGACTCCTGACTGGCCATGGGGCAGTAACCAAAGCGGAAAATCCATTTCAAGTTCATGAGTTGTTTTAGGCACCTCCTGTTAGTTGTAGCTGGCGGTGTGGTGTGTGGGAGGTGCTGGAATTGGCGGGAGAGTGGCCGGCACTCTGGATGCTTCTCAGTCCCAGCTCCACAGAGGACCTGGACAGCATTAGCTAGGGAAACCCGGAACCTGGATCACGTATTTTAGGGAGAGGGTGCCAGAAAAGGTGGGCTTCCTGGAGTAGGTGGCCTCTTAGAGGGTGTGGAGTGGACACAGAAGGGTGCATGTGGCCCAGGTGGCCAGAGCTAGCCCGTCCTATGTGAGGAACTCAACCCAGGAGTAGGAGGATGGGGACAGGGTGAGGAAAGAATAGGTGGGAGAATCCAGACCAGGAAGGGCCACCCAGGCCTTGCCAAGGAGGTTGGATTTTGTTCTCAAGGAGCTGCTGAAGGCTTGATACAGAGGGTATGCCCTCAGAATAGTGGTGGTCCAGAAGGTTGGGATGGAGACTGGAGGTGAGTGAGGAGGGTGCACAGTGGTACGGGAGGGCCACAACCAGCACCTGTGCCCAGGCAGGCTGAGCAAGGAGCAGTGGGGACAGTAATGTCAGTGACTGGCCCAGAGGCAGTGGGCCCAGGGTTCTGCACAGTCTGCAGACTCTGGGGGAGATGTTGGACAAAGGAAGCAAAGCTGTTGCATCACTGAGCAGAAGAGCCGCTACAGGGAACCTCTGGGTTGAGAAACGTTGCAGGGAGTGAAGAGGGCTGACTCCTTGCTCTGATGTGAGTCTCCTGGCTTACCATTGGATTTGCCCTGTGATGTCATGCCTCTCTCCTACCAGAGTTATTTCCTTTTTTTTTTTGTAGAGACAGAGTCTTACTTTATTACCCTTAGTAGAGTGCTGTGGCATCACAGCTCACAGCAACCTCCAACTCCTGGGCTTAGGCGACTCTCTTGCCTCAAGCCTCCTAAGTAGCTGGGACTACAGGCGCCCACCACAATGCCTGCTATTTTTTGGTTGCAGTTTGGCTGGTTTGAACCCCCCACCCTCGCTATACCGGGCCGGTGCCCTACCTGCTGAGCCGCGGGCACCACCCCCAAAGTTATTTCTTGAAGTTGCTCCCTCTCTTGCCTGAGTTTCTCCATTCATTTTATTCATAAGCATTTCTGAAGGGTCCACCTTGGAGCATTCCCACCCATCATAGCCTGTGGTCCTTGGATGTTCTGCATCTCAGGCCTATTGACTTTTCCAAAAGAGTTTTAGGATCTGGAGTCTGAGGCCCTGCCAGGGACCTGCTCCAACAGTCCTCTGAGGGTCTCCTGGGTGTTCTGTGGGTGCTCTGTCCCTTGTTAGAAGACGGGCACTCAAGGACCAGGACTGGTCCTCTCCAGGTGGCTGCCATGTCAGCCAGTGCTGGCTTTTGCATCAGTCTCCCACATTCATTCATTCTTTCTGTAACTTCCAGGCACAGTTCTAGGCCCTGGGCACAGCCTTGTCCTTGCCGAGATCTCAGGCCAGGGGCTGAGACAGTGTGGTGAGGTACAAAGAGCACAGCATCTGATAGACCTGAATCAGAGCCTTCCACTGCTTGGACTGGCAGACTTTTCAACTTGTTTGAGCATTGCTTGCCTTACTTGCTAGATCAGGCCATGATTTCTACCTCTCAGGGCCACACAGAAGGCCTTGAGTATGGGCCTTACGTGCAATGACCCCAGATGGAGCATCCTGTAGCCCTGGGGGTGCAGGTGCAACTGAAATTCTTTGGCTTATTGGTCTGCCTACCTTAGATCCACTTCCCACTCCAAACTGGAGTCTGAGGAATGAAATACCATCCATGGGATGAGGGATCTGCTGCTTCGGGGGACACAGGGGCTTTGCAGCCCTTGCTTAGCCAAGCACCTGCCTTAAGAGAAACAGGGGAATATTGGCTTGACCAAGCAGAGCACTCCAATGGGCTCTTTGCTATTATTACCCATGCAAACATTTACCAAGCTCCTGCTCTGGGCTGCACCGATGCTGGGGGCTTTCACAGAAGTTCTCTCATTTAGTCCTCACTTCTCCGTGGCGGGGGTTGGTGGGTGTCATATCTGTTGCCTGGATGAGGGAACAGAAACTTATTACAAGGCCTCTGATGTGGAAGTGTTTGCCCTTCTCTGTGTGGTCAAGGATACCAGGCCTGGTGAGGCTAATGGGGAACCACCAAATCCCATGCACACGTTCTCCTCCCCAGCTCCTCAGACAACCCTGCCTCCCCCGGGCTCAATGCTTTTTTCCTCCTCACAGGTTAAATTAGTCAGAGAGCTTCTTAAATAAGAATGCTAGGATTAGAGCCAGGTCTCTTAGACTTTCTTTAGATGAATAACTAGCTTTATAAACAGAAGTTCTCTGATCAAGTCTTCTCTCCCTGTGGATATGAACCTTTCCTTCCAGCCCCAGCTTGGGGTGACAGGCTGGAAAAGGTGACCCAGAGCTTCCTTCTGGGTTCTGGAAACACTAGAGGTGATTTGAGATGGGGATATTTCTGGCCTTGGGGGTGGCAGGGGGCAGAGTGGCCTCCTGGGGTGAGGGAGAGGGGATGGACAGAATGATTTTGTATCCTTCAGGTATAGATTTTTTAGTGGTCACTTATTCTGAATTTTTAATGTTGAAAGTTTTTTGATTAGGCATAAACCCACAACTTCCTGATCAAAACCACACATATGCATTTAGCAAAACCTCTTAAAAAATGTAAAATTACCAAACTCCACATTTGATAATTTTTAACAGTCACGATTATGCTCACCGGGCTGTGCTACCAATGACTTACATAGAGATATCAGCCATGGGCCTTTTTTGGGATATGAGTGTGAGAATGATGGGAAATTTTTCTGGCTTAGAATCAGACTTTTTCAGTTCCTTCTAATATTAGGCTAAATCACATACATTTAGAATGCTAAATAACCTGTAGGCTGGGCTCAGTGGCTCATGCCAGTAATCCTAGCACTTTGGCAGGCTGAGGCAGGAAGGTCACTTAAGGTCAAAGTTCATGACCAACCTGGGCAACATAGTAAGACTCCTGTCTCTTCCAGAAAAAAACCCAAACAGAACCAAAAGACTGCATCCTTAAACTCCATATAATATGAGCCATAGTGTAGTAGGGGTGATTATCGAGTTAGATATTTGTTAGAAGTTGAATTGTGTTCCCACCAGGAAAGACATGTGGAAGTCTCAACCCCACAGCCCCGGGGAATGAATATGAGGATGACGTTTTTGATTGTCTAGCACCACAACCATCCTCCATGGGGGCATACAGTGAACAAGAGGTTGGGGACCCCTACTGTGTCTTTGAAATTATCTTCCCCAAAGAATGAAGAAGCATCTCAATTCTGGTGATGTTGGTGATAGATGTGCAGGGTCTCCTTTATCATGTGACCTTTTCTACAAACTCAGTTTGTTTATTTAGACATAGAGTCTCTGCTCTGTCACCCAGGCTGGAGTGCAGTGGTTCAATCCCAGATCCCTGCATCCTCAAACTCTGGGGCTCACGTGATCTTCTTGCTTCAGCCTCCAAAATAGCTGGGACTACAGGCACTAACCACCATGCCTGGCTAATTTTTTCTTTTACTAGAGGCAGAGTCTCACTGTGTTACCCAGGCTGGTCTTCAATTCTTGGTCTCAAGCAATCCTCCATGTTGGCTTCCCAAAGTACTAGGATAAGAGGCATGAGCTACGGTGCCCGGCCCAAACTCAGTTTAACGTAAGGCTGACTAAAGATGTTATCATTCAGTGTAACTAAATTTCCCTCATATATTTTGAGTCCCAGTGGGCACTCTGTAACATGCAAGGCAATGACTGAGCTCTATTTTAGGGTATCTAAAGGTGAGTAATGCACAATCCTCACCCCAAAGGAGGCACTCTGTAACATGCAAGGCAATGACTGAGCTCTATTTTAGGGTACCTAAAGGTGAGTAATGCACAATCCTCACCCCAAAGGAGGCACTCTGTAACATGCAAGGCAATGACTGAGCTCTATTTTAGGGTATCTAAAGGTGAGTAATGCACAATCCTTACCCCAAAGGAGCTTAGGGCTTCTAGTTGTGATGATAATGATGGTACACACAATCGCTTCCAGTTAAAAAGAGCTCACCATGCCAGGCACTGTTCTTAGCATTGTATGTTGAATTTCCATAAAACTCGAAGAGGCAGATACTACCATGACCAGATTTTAAAGATGAGAAAAATGAAGCACAGCAGAGGCTAAGTAACTTACCATCTGTAAATACCTAGAAAGTGGCCGAACTGTGATTTGAGACTGTGCTGTGGTTTCAGATGCCATGCTCTTAGCTCCCTTGCATAAAGCACATAAAGAAGGGATAGGAAGGATGCATATGGTGTACTTGCTACAGACATCCATCATGCAGCACCAGGGGACTTGGCTTATAATGAAGGTCCCACCAAGGACAATGAGGAGACACAGAGAGAACCTAGTCTTCCAGAGAATGCTAGAGCCTCTGCTCTTACCATGTCTGAAGTCCTGGGACTCCTTGCTATGTGCCAGCATAGACCTTGCTCATAGGAATGTAGACTCCAAATACTTGTTGGGTTTGCAGGTCAAGATGAATGCATGCATTTATTCCCTTTCCCTCAGAAGCTCACTGATACAACAGTAAAGGGATTTTCAAAAGGCCATAAGGACAACAAGAACAGGAGAGAAGACAATAGCATTACAATTGAGAACTAGGGAGCATATGGATGAGTAGTAACTCATTTCACCCCACTAAATAAAGTTCAGAAAGCAGAAGAGCCACCTGAGTCCCATAGGAGCCCCCACAAAGGCTCAGGGGGTGGTGGCAATGAATAAAGATGTGACTGAGAACAGAGGGACTGCTTGAAAATTTCCTTAAGGAGGATTTAGATTCCCATTCCTTACAGCCTCTCCCCAGCCGTAGCAGGCAACTCCATGTAAAATCTCTCGAGAGAGAAGGCCTCTAGACACCACCACATTGACAGCCAGCAACTAAGTCAACAATGACACATTGAATGCTGAGGACAGCATCCAAGTGAACTCTTACTCCAGTGAACTGTACCTTTCAGCAGAGAAAACAAAAGAGCCTTCTCCTGGGACTCTGGTCTACCCAAGAGGAAAAATCTAGTAGAGGTGGGGAACCTGCAGCCTCAAGGCCACATGTGGTCCTCCACATCCCCAAGGGCAGCCCCCTGACCAAATCCAAACTTCACAAAACAAATCCTGTTGTTAAAAGTGGTGTAGGAGAGAAAGATAAAGCTTTTCTTGTCTCCTTTGGTGCTTAAAAAGGACAATCTTGACAGCAGAAGGCTGATGTCAAAAATGAAATATTCATGGAACAGCAGCAACAAAAACAAAAATCCTTGGAAATTAAAAATATAATCACAGAAATAAAAAGTTCAGTAGAAAGGTAGGGAAATAAAGTTGAGAAAATCTTCCAGGAAAGAGAGTAAAAAGGCAAAGAAACAGTGAATGAGAGGGGGAAAAAATGATGAGAAAATTGGAGGACCAATCCAAGAGTCCAACATTTGAAGAATATGACTTCCAGAAAGAAAACAGAAAATGAAGGAGAGGAAATAATCAACGATATAATTAAAGAAAACTTCCTGGAACCAAAGGACATACCTTTTTAAGACAGAAAGGGTTCACTGTTTGCCTATTAGGATAGATGAAAAGAGGCTTAACCAAGGCATGGAATGTGTGATGAAACTCTTGAACACTGGGTGATAGAGAAAAGATCCTAAAGCCTTCTAGAAAGGAAAAAAAAAATTAAGCAACTGAAACTCAAAGATCATGGGTGGCAAGAATGGCTTTAGACTTTCCCAAAGAAGCACCAGAGTTAGAAGATAATTAAGTAGTACCTTTAAAATTCTGAAGGAGAATTACTTTCTCCTATATTACTTAGGCCTCTGAGTTCACTATCCTAGAGGCACCATTCATTATGGAATACCATGAAAAGTTTGTTCCTTGGACTTGTTCAGTGCACTGGTTCTGCTGTACCCTTTCTCTGGCAGCCATTGACAATGTGTTCCACCAAGATGAGAGAGTAAACCAAGAAAGGGGAAAACATTGGAGAGAATCAGAGAAACTCTCTGGCTGTTGGTATAGAGAGACCCCAGGGTGGCAGCTGGGCTTAGAAAACAGCCAGCCAGATTGCAGCAGGTCAGAAGGTTCCATAACACTTCTTGGCGAAGGTTGTTATGAACTGAATGTTGTTTCCTCCCAAAATTCACACGTTGAATTTAGGTGATGTTATTGAAAAGGTGAGGCTTTGGGAGGTCTTTAGATTTAGATGAGGTCATGAGGGTAGAGCCCCCATGAAGGGATTAGTGCCCTTATAGAAAAAGAAAGAGACACCAGAACTTCCCTCTCTGCTGTGTGAGGACACAGTGAGAAGGCAAGCCAGGAAGGAACCCTCACTGGAACCCAACCATGCTGGCTCCCTGAGCTCAGACTTCCAGCCTCCAGAACTGTGAGAAATAAATGTCTGTTGTTTAAGCCCTCCAATCCATGAGAGTTTTGTTACGGCAGCCCAAACTAGTGGAGACAAAGGTGAGACAGAATTTCTGATTTAGTCTCATTATCTAAGAGGAGTTTTGGGGTTGAAATAAAAAGGCCACAGAAGACTAAAAGAAGGAGAAAGAAAAACATGATTAACTAACAGGGAGACAAAAAGTTCTCTAGAAATGAAGAGATCATAGTACCTGCATAGTGTTGCCCAGGACACATTTACTTTGTCATAAGAAGATAAAACTAGATTATCAATTGAGAGGGCAGGGAGTAAGTGGTCAGGGTGGGATGGTAATGCAAGGAGAATTAAGTCTTCATCATTATAGGGGAAAGTCAGTACATTATATCTAAAATGGAAAACTCTAGGCATATTGATGTACACATGCCATTTTGATACTTGGAGGGAATACTGAGAGAGTTAAAAGAGTTGAAAGTGGTTGGCCCTGGAAAAAGGGCAATGCCATTATTATTATATTTTTAACCAAGCCTTTTAGAATTTCTTGATTCTTTTAATTTGTGCTTTTCAGACTATCCTTAATGAAAGGAACAGGTTTCTTTTTCAAATCCTTTGTAAAATACAATGAAAATGAATTATTAGAAACACAATCATGTGATTGGATGTCAGGGTAATGCTGAATTGCTACAAAGTTTTTCTCTCCATTTTAGTACCTACATCCTAATGGATAAATGACAATTTATAGACCAACACTAGGTTGTGGAGTACTGTTTTCATTTATGTCTATGCATAATTGTCATTTAAAAAGAAACATTTAAAAAAGGATTCATGACAAAGTAGCTATACTTAACTACACTTACTGGCTGAGATGGCAAAAATTTTAAGGGAATTCACACATACTAGGATGGCTATAATAAAAAATTAAATTATTATGGCGTCAGTTCTTAAAAAAATATTGCAAACTAACAAGTATTGGCAAGGATGCAGAGAAATCGGAATCCTCGTACATTGCTGGTGGTAATGTAAAATGATGCAGTTACCATGGAAAATAGTTTGGTGGTTTCTAGAAAAAAAAAAAAAAGACAGTCTCACTCTGCTGTCTCATCGTTCTAGCTCACAGCAAGTTCAAACTCCTGGGCTCAGAAGATCCTTCTGCTTCAGGCTCCCAAGTAGCAGGGACTACAGGTGCCTGCCACAGCATGTGGATAATTTTTCTATTTTTTTTTTTTTTTTAGTAGAGATGGGGGCTATCTCTTGCTCAGGGGGGTCTTGAGCTCCTGAGCTCAAGGGATGTTTCCACCTCGGCCTCCCAGAGTGCTAAGATAACAGGGGTGAGCCCCCATGCCAGACCACTTCCTCACAGAGTTAAACAGAACTACCATGTCACCCAGAAACTCACTCATAGGCCGTATACCCAAGAAGAATTGAAAGCAGGGACTCAAGCAGATCTTTGTATACAATGTTCACAGCTGCACTAGTCACAATAGTCAAAAGGTGGTGCCAACCCCAATGTCTACAGCAGGTGACTGGAAAAATGAAGTATGGTTAGGTCCATACAACAGAATATTATTCAGCCTTAAAAAGGAATGAAGTTCTCATACATGCGGCGACATGGATGAACCTTGAAAACATGCTAAATGAAAGAAACCAGGCACTGAAATAGAAACACTGTGTGATTCCTCTTATATGAGCTTCCCAGAGTCATCAGGTTCAGAGAGAGAGAAAGTAGAAGGGAGGGTGTTGGGGGCTGGGGAGACGGAATGGGGTGTGGTTGTTTAGTGGGTACAGAGTTTCTGTTTGGGATGCTGGAAAAGTTTCACAGATGGTGATGATGGTTACACAACTTTGTGAACGTACTTAATGGTGCTAAGTGTACACTTAAAAATGGTCAAGGTGGCAACTTTTATGTTATACATATTTTATCACAATTTTTAAATATCTCTGACATTAAAAGGATTCTTTTACAAAGTATAAAATGTAAATGTTAAGTGATAACAAAGGAAATAAATAAATGAAAATAAAAAGGGAGAGCCCAGAGTATCAGGAAGAGGATGGACGGTGCAGAGGTAGGTGGTTTCAAGAGGGATAGGTGGAGGAGGAGAACTTTGGGAGCAAAGACCCAGGGGCAGGGCTGCAAAGGCTGAATGAATGGGTTATTTTAAGGAGTCCGACTAGCTGAAACACAGCACCAGGTGGCAAGGCTGTGGGAGAGTCAAGGTGGAAAGCTCTGCCCATCACAGGAGGAATTTGTGGGCAGTGGGCAGCCCTGTGGGGAGAGTTTCAAGCAGGGGAACCACAGCATGAGAGCTGTGCTCCAGAGCAGCGGTTCTCAAACTCCAGTGGGCCTCAGTGTCACCGGGGGGGGGGGCGCTTGTTAAAACTCACCTCGCTGGGCTCCACCCCCCAGGTTTCTCACTAGCGGGGCCTGGAGCTGGCAGTGGGGCAGGCAGTTGAACTCCTCTCTCTTCTCCTCAGACACTACCACGCGTCTCCTGCTGGGTGCCATTGCGGTCCTTCTGTTTGCCATTCTGGTGGTGATGAGCATCTTGGGTGAGCGTGCATGCTGGAGCATTTGTGCAGTTCCCTGTGTACACCCTTTCTACCTCCTGATCTCAGCTTTTGGACCCTTTGTCAAAAGCCCCTGCAATTAGGCAGAGACAGTCCAGGCTTCTGTGGGTGACAAAGTAAGTAGAAATTACATAGTGTTGGCTGTTGATGGGATTTTAGCCTAAAATAATATACTGAGGGTGACAAAAAAATGTATGCACATTTTAAGAAAGGAAAAAAACTGTATTAAAATTGTAATGCTCAATATATACTGATAACAAAAGATGAATACAAGTCACGTTTGACTTTCGTAATGACCAGAGGTGCTCAAAGTGGTTGCCATCAGCATCCAGACACTTCTGATTATGGTATGAAAAGTAGTATATAGATAACAACCCTTAAAATGTGTGTACATTTTTTTGCACCCCTAGTATTCACACATGGATTATAGTTGTCCCCTTTATTAAGCCCTGGAGGTAAAGCAGAGTTGTTACTTAGGTAAGTGCTGTGAGAGCTCAGAATTCAGACCAAATGCAGAACAAACTTGGGGCAGGCAGTGGTTCTTAAAGGAGATAATTTGGGGGTAAGGGTCTCTAAAGATCACATTCATTCAGCAAACATTTACTGAGCCCTGCAATGTGTCAGGTCCTGGGCTATGTGGTAAGGACAAAAAAAAAGACATTTTTTCTTTTGTCCAGAGGTAAGTTGCGGTAATAGAGGCGTCAATGCCTGCCTGGTGGCTTCCCAGAAGGGGAGACACGAACACTGAACCCTGAAGAATGGGTAGGACTTCTCTGAGATCAGGAGGTAGAGGGTTTGGGAGGGAAAAACTTTTCCTCTACTGTCTTAAGTTCAGTACCTGGGAGCCTGCGAATTAAACTGTCAAAGGCAGACTAACAGGAGAGAAGGCACACGATTTTTATTAATGTTTATGTGCATGGGAGTTCATGGAAAAGAAGTACAACTTAAAGAAGCATTTAGACTCAGGGTGTATATGCCTTTTTAGCAAAGGAAAGAGAGTTTGGGCTTCAAGAAATGGTAAATTGTAGGGAAATGGTTAGGACATACATGGGGAATGACAGACGGTGACTGTTTCAGCACGGTTTGTTTGCAAACTCAGCTTGGTGTTGATTCTTTGGTGTGTTCATTGATAAGAGTCACTTTTCCCTCTAGTAAGAGGTTGATGGGGTGGGGATGGGGGTTGGCCAGCACCTTCCTCAAAGGGAAGTGTATACCCTACTTTTAGGCACATCAAAGGAGTGTGCAGAGAACGGTTGAGACATCAGTTGATTCCTAATTGTCTTCAACTCAAAATGATCCTTATGCCAAAGTGGCGTATTTTGGAGTGCCATATTCCAGATCCTGTCAAAGGAACAGAACATTCTAAGTGGGAGAGGTGTGAGAAACTGAAAGGGTCAAACAAATAAAAACCTGCCACTAAGGACAAGTGGGGCTATATGAACTGGGAATGTGGCTACTTTTAAGGGATTCAAGTCAAAGTATGTCATGGGTCCTGAACACTTTGCAAAAGTGATTTCAGCATCTCTGTCTTTAATCTTTGAGGAATATCATAAGACCAGAGGTGAATTTCTCCAAGTCTGGGAAAAAGTCCACTGACAATATCAATTCCTACCAGTTCCTTCCCTGTAGGGCTTGTATGACAAGCCGGAGGCTGGTGAGTGTTCAGAAATGGATATGGCAAGCAATGGGTCCAGCTTGGGTTCATCTGGAATAATCACTACAGGTTAACTCCTTTGTTAGGTTGGGAGGCCAGAGCAATGTGTAGACATAGCATATTGTGATTTCAATAAAGCCCCACAGAGATTCTTAGGAGATCCTTGTGGAGAAGTGGTTGAAATGGTCAATACTCCCAAGTGGACTTGAATCTCACTGAACAGATGAGCCCAGGAAGTGTCGATTCATTAACTGGTGTCCACATGGCTGGAGATCCCTAGGGGCTTGAGTATTGTGGGCCTGTTCACTTTTATAAAAACAAAAATATGCTTATGGAATTTATAGCTGATACAGTCCAAATCCGCAATTCCAAGTGACAGATGGGAAAAAAAAAATCAAGATTAAAGTTTATCTGTAAAAACTCAAATGATCAGCCAGTGAGATAATTGTGGAAGAAATAAATATAAGCTTCTGCATTTAGATTTTAAACGTGGTTTTCACATGTTCTGGACACTGGGGAGACCTGGCTTGGAAACAGATCATATGAAAATAATCTAAGATTGTGGCTTAATGCTTTTTGGCAAGGAGGTCCTCTGAGACTCGGATGGAAGTTCTGGGCTCCCTTCCCAGAAGAGTGCACACATGCATACGCACAGTCTGTTCACTGAAGCGGTCTGCAGACTGGAGCGCCTGTGACACCTGGAAAGCAGCATTGTAGTCACTTTGGCTGCTGGTAGAGCCACATTTGATGTGTCCCAGTCTGTCCTCATGGCGGCGGGTTGGTGGCAATATGGTGACACTGCAGTGAGCAGGCCCTGCTGGGATCATGAAGATATGGCAGGGGAGGCTGGTGTCCTTCCGGTAGGAGGAAGGAGATGGAATGAGTCTGCTCTGGGTCATGCCAGAAGGCAGATCCTGGATCAGTAGGTCTAGGTCATGAGAGGGGAGATTGGGACTAAATATTTAAAAGGAACTTTCCAGCAGTCCAGTGGTGGAACAGGTGGCCTTGTTAGCTAATGAGGTGTAGTTAATGGAAGTGGGCAGTCCATCCTGCCAGTGCCTTCCACCTCGGCTGGAGAGAAAGGACACGTGGCTTGTAGGTCCCTCGCCTGGGGAGTTCAGAGACACAGGCGGATCTACGCCAGGGGCTGACCTGCTGTCACTTGCCCTTATGGGGATGTGCCTCCCAGCCCACCATTATTCATTCGCTGAGCCACCAAGGCTTTACCTCCAAGCGCTGTGACAGGTGCTCACCCATGAGGACAGCCACAGTGACAGCAGTTGAGATGGGTGGAGGAAGCCTTGGGAGGCAGAGTGGGATTTGGTGGGACAGGGTGGTAGCCAGGAGCATTGGCAGACTCAGAGCCTGTCTCTCCTCCCGCAGCCTCCAAGGGCTGTATCAAGTGTGAGGCGCCCTGCCCGGAGGACTGGCTGCTCTACGGGAGGAAGTGCTACTTCTTTTCTGAGGAACCGAGAGACTGGAACACTGGCAGGCAGTACTGCCACACCCACGAGGCCACGCTGGCTGTGATCCAGAGCCAGAAGGAGCTGGTGAGTGCGCTGGGGTGGGGAGAGGGGCCCTCGGCACCTGCACCTCAACTCTAAGGGGAGAGCCACACCCCAGTGTGCAGGGTGCCCTGTGACATGTCATCCAGCCACCATACTCCATAGGCTCTGTGCAGGTCACTGAGTGGCTCCACTTTCCATTTCTATTGTCAAGGACACTTACTTCAATTCAAGGCTATTTATTGGCTGTGCTAAACTCAGTATTGTAAAGTGTAAGGATTACAATTATAAAGGCACTGTGAAATGCAAAAATTCACTCTTATTTTCTACTGATCCAAATTAGAACATGAGCTCTCCTTGAACACCCAAAATGGTTTTATAGATAGGAATGTGTTAAGAAACCAATTAACCAGCCTGTCGGCCATTTTGGATTTTGTGGTTAACAGTGTTTAACCATCCAAAATAGCAGATAATCTAAAAATCACTTCTGTTTGTCTTTGATACACAGTACTATGTCTGCCTTCTGGAGAGAAAGTCCCAGAAGTATGTAGATGGAAGGACTACCAACCTCAGGGTTGAGATTCGTCCCAGCTCATCCATTCAGTGGGCAATCCCCAAGCTTCCTGCAAATCAGGAATGCTGGACTGTGGGCCGCTGAGCTGGGCTGGGAGGATGTCCCTGTGCAACCTTCCTGGCGTGGTGGCGCAGTGGCACAGTGATGCACTCAGAGCTAGGGGCTGTGGAGGCAACTCCTGCAAGGTCAGGGAGCAGCTCCTAGCTGAGGGAACATTCTCTAACCCAGCTCTCACTTTCAGAGTATAGTGAGATATCAGTCACCCTCCCAGTGTCTGTAAATCCGAGGGCCAGGATCTTTTTTTTTTTTTGAGACGGTCTCACAGGGACCAAGATCTTTTGAAATGAGGTCTGTCTTGGGCTGTGAGAGTGTTCAGGAGACCACACCTGACCCTGAGGTTTCTCTCTTTCCTTGGTGCAGGAATTTATGTTCAAGTTTACGAGGAGGGAGCCCTGGATTGGACTACGCAGAGTTGGGGACGAATTCCACTGGGTCAATGGGGATCCGTTTGACCCAGACACGTGAGCTGAGACTTCATCTTCTGGCTACCAGGCTTAGACTGGGGAAAGCCTAAGCCCCCTTCTAGAGATGCTAGTCCTGGGTCTAATAGCCTGTGCCAGAGACGCAGTCATGACGATGGCTTTACTCTGCTCTCTCCCAGAGGAACCCAGGCTGGCTTGGAGGTTGTGCCCTGTGTAGTAGCTATGAGAGCCTCATCGGGTTGGGCCCAGGCCCCTTCCATGTGTGACTCCTCCACGGGGCAGTGTGGCTCACATGTCCCATTCAACCAGAAGGAGAACAGGGAGGAGAGGGTGTCCCTGGATTTTCTCACCCTGTTGGCCAGAAGTTGGTCACATGACTATATTTGGCCTCTAGTGGGGATAGGAGATGGTGCCTCCATTCTGGGCAGACATGTACCACCCAAGGATTGTCACTATGGAAGAAAGGGGCTCTGAATAAGGGCATTCCCGCGTGTTTTGGCCACATTCTCTTAGAGCAAACACGTCTTGGTGCAGGGGTACTGCAGAAGTGTGTGCAGGGCAATGTTACTTGTATGGCCAGTGGTGTGGATGTGAGTGGGTGGCGTGGGGGTGGCAGGTGTGTGGCTGTGGCAGTGGGAGTGGCAATCTAGGCTTAGGGCAATGCAGGGAAGTGCTGGCAAAGGAAAGAGAACCTCAGCTTCTAGAACAGACCCTGTGGCTGAAGGAAGAGGCTCTGGGTCTGCGTCTGTCTAGCTCCAGCTAAAGTGGAAGGACACCCATGCCCGCATTCCCTCCTGGCGGCCAGAGCTGGCCCTCTCACCTGAGGCCGGCTTAGGCGGTCAGTCCTGTGGCCGCCCTCCTGAGGGTGAGGGCCGGGGACCATGTTCCCATCTCTCCTCCTTAGTGGCGGGCACTCTTCATCTCTGCCCTTTGTCCTTAGGGCCTCTTCCTTTTCTCCCTCCCTCTCCTGCCCCTGTCCAGATCTATTCTTAGAGCGGCTCCTAAGATCTTGCTCTTCTTGGCCCTCTCTGTATCTTTCTGGAAGTTTCTTTTTCTGAGAACCCCGGAGGCTGGGGTCCTGCAGTGCTGGCCACCTAGCCACCAAGGGGCCTTTGGCAAAGTTTTCTGACACTGAAGAGGTCCTGCCTTCCCGGCCACACCTTCTGGGGTCCTTCTGACGCCCTCTCTTATGAGAGCCAAGCCCAGCCTTGGCAGGGGTCTGAGTTAGGTGAATAGTAGGGTTCAGAGAAACCCATGAGACTTGAGAAGGGAGACCCCCTGCCACAGGTCCCTGTGTGATTTCAGTGACTACCTGGGCAGCATGGCTGTGCTCGTTCAATACTGGGTGATCCCGTCCACCCTGGCCTAGGAGGGTAATCTAACTCAGCCTCTCTCCAGAGCTGCTGTGCACTCAACTGGGCACTGCAGGGAGCCAGGATGAGAGGGTGCTGGGGAGCTGCCACCCAGGATGTGGGGCACAGACACAGGCCCCTGAGAGGCTTGTGGCAGGTGGTGCCCTGTGCTGCCTGCAGGGCGTAGAGTGAGATGCTGACATGGGTGCCTCGGAGCCTGGGATGTGGGAGCTGACCCTGGACAGCGGAAGTGCAGATGGGAAGTGCAGGGTGTGTCCAGGAAACGTCCATGGGCAGGCCAGGATGACAAAGTAGAGAGTCAATGGATGTCCAGCTGAAAGGTCTGTCAGGCACAATGTCCTAGGAGGCAGCTCCAGTGAGGGGGGCAGGCCACAGTGCTCCCTCGATGTGTGGGGGAGGGCTGAGTGTCCCAGGACCTGAGTGCCTGGCGTCTTCTCTCCTGGCCACAGGTTCACCATCTCAGGCCCTGGGGAGTGTGTCTTCGTGGAGCCCACCAGGCTGGTGTCGACGGAGTGTCTGATGACCCGGCCCTGGGTGTGCAGCAAGATGGCCTACACTTGAGGTGGGTCGGGCCACAGGTCCACCTCCTCCTCAGGCTCCAGGGAGGTGCCTGCTCCTGACCTGCCTCCAGTGGGAGCCGCCTGCCCTCTCCAAAGCGACACAGTGGATGGGTGGGGTGGGGTGGGGGTGGTCTCCACCCTAGGCCCATCTCCCAGGCTCTGGAACACTGAGTCCTTGGCTCTTGGTCTCCTCTGTCCCCAGGCAGGTCATGTGGCCCACATGCTAAGTAGTGTAGGCATCTGTTCCCCATACACACATACACACGCTCAAGCACACGCACGTGTACACACAGGCACAATCCTTTCTCAAGTTCAGAGTCCATCCTGAGCCACTCATAAGTCCTTTCTCACTGCAGCCCTGGTGCCTTGGAGAATGGGGTTTGACACAGGCTGTATTCCTGTTGGCACAGTAGCTCTGCTTTCCAGAGGTGGCTCCCAGGTTGCTGGGGAAGGTGGCAGGGACGGCTTCCCCCTCCCCTGGGCCAAGTCCCCTGCATTCACCCTCTTTGCCCTGCCTGGGGCTCTCAGGCAGGGCCCCTGCTGTGTCCGTGGTGCTGTTGTATTGGTCACTGATGGAATAAAGATATGACTGGTGTCCAGAGATGGGTGCTGTCATTTGTTCCAGGGTCATAGCTTGGGGAGGTGTCCGTCTCTGGGGTCAGTTTTTGGGGGCCACCTCAGAGAGGCACTTGTTCTGGTTCCACAGATGTCATGTGTGGGAATTAAGGGTAAAAAAATGCATCTTATGGCCTCTGGGCTTTATTTAATTCTGTGAAATCACTGAGTTAATCTCAGCTGGCTGTAGTTTGTGGTCTGTTCCAACTCCTTCATTAATAGTCAACTCAAGATGACATGTGTTTATTCACACTGACCAGGGGCCAGACACCACTCCAGGCATGGGGAGCTCCATGGAATCCATAGGGAGCAAAGGAAAGAGCTCAGTGGGCATGCCCGGAGCTCAGCGGGTAGGGTACTGGCCACATACACTGAGGCTAGCGGGTTCTAACCTGGCCCAGGCCTGCTAAACAATAATGACAACTGGCTCGGTGCCTGTAGCTCAGCAGCTAGGGCTCCAGCCACATACACTGGAGCTGGTGAGTTGAACCTGGCCTGGGTCTGCCAAACAACAATGACAACTACAACCAAAAAATAGCTAGGTGTTGTAGTGGGCACCTGTAGACCCAGCTATTTGGGAGGTTGGGGCAAGAGAATCGCTTAAGCCTAAGAGTTTGAGATTGCTGTGAGCTAGTATGCCACTGCACTCTACTGAAGGCGACATAGTGAGACTCTGTCTCAAAAAAAACGACAACAAAAAAACAATGGCAACTGCAAGGTGTGGTGGTGAGCACCTGTAGTCCCAGCTACTCAGTAGGCTGAGGCAAGAAAATAACTTAAGCCCAAGAGTTTGAGGTTGCTGTGAGCTGTGATGCCATAGCATCTACCAGGAGCGACATAGTGAGACTCTGTCTCAAAAAAAAAAAAAAGAGCTCAGAAAGCCCTAGAACATTCTGGAATATAGTTAAAACATGGTTTATTCTGCCTTGGGAGAGGAGTGAGTGAAGTGAGCAGGGAAGTGGGGTGAAGTTTACATTGGGCAGGAGAAGCATTGGCAAGGGTCATTTGGCTTCTCCCTGTCCCCTTGGTTTGCCTGGGGAGGTGCTAGCATTGCCCCTGGGCCCTGAGCCTCCTCCCCACACTGAGGCCCCAGCTCAGGCTGCAGTGGAGCCTGGTCCTCTTGGCCTCCTTCTGATACCCCAGGCGGACAAGAGGCAGGTGACTTTTGGGTCCTGGCCCATTTTCAGAAAATAGCTCATAGAGAAACCAGGTCCCGCTGTGCTCTGCTCTGGCCTTTAACTAGCTTGATGGTCTTCAGACAAAACTGCCAACTTGTTTTTTTTTTTTTAAACTTTTCTGCATGGTTTCTGGATATTTCATAAAATAGGGGTATTTCATAGTTTTATATTTTGTCTTTATTGGGAAGCCAGTGGGAGGACTCAGGGTGTGCAATGACGAAGTTAAGGGAATTTAGTGGCTGGGGGTCTCTAGTGGGTGTGGGGCGAAGGGTGAGAGTGAGGGGCTGAGAGCTGAGAAAGTGGTCAGCTGCTGCTGCTTCCGGGTGGGGGTCTCTCCCACCTGTTCTCAGTCGCATACAGGCCTGTGGTTCTCACCAGATCTTCCCCTTAAAGACGGAGCGTTCAAAAGCTTCAGGGCATCTTTTTTGATGGCTGAATTATAGTCAGTGGTATACGTATACCAGTTTATTAATCCATTCATGGATTGATGGTACATCTTTTGTATTTATCTAGATGAAGCTGAAGAACATTCTCTTTAGTAAAGTATCTCAAGAATGGAAAAACAAGCAGCCCATGTACTCAAAACTTATTTGAAACTAGTAGATGAACAACTACAGGCCCATATGAGGGAAATACGCAAATTTAAGTGTATTTCTTGGCTCGGCCCCCGTAGCACAGTGGCCACATACACCAAGGCTGGCAGGTTCGAACCCAGCCCAAGCCTGCTAAAACAACAGTGACAACCTCAACAGAAAAATAGCTGGGTGTTGTGGTGGGTGCCTGTAGTCCAAGCTCCTTGGGAGGCTCAGGCAAGAAAATCTTGTTAGCCCAAGAATTTGAGGTTGCTGTGAGCCGTGACGCCATGGCACTCCACTGAGGGTGACACAGTGTGACTGTCTTAAAAAAAAAAAGTGTGTTTCTTAATTAAGCTCAGTAAGCTTCCTCCTAATGAGTACAAAGTAGGGGTACATGGCACACCTCCTGGTCCCAAATACAACTGGGACTTTTCCTAACAAATGCAAACAATGCAACCTAATTGTATCTACCCTTGTGTTAATCTGAAATTGCTTTACACGGGGCACTTCCCTAGTTCTCTAAGACATGCCCCGAGGCAGGTAATGCTGTCACAGGTGAGTAACCTTGGCAGGGTCCTCAGAGTCTGGCCTGGGGTCAGAGCCCTGCTTTCCTCCTGCCCTGGGAGTGCAGGGAAGCAATGTGAGAGGTCAAGGAATGGATAATTCCTGCCAATCAGGTTTCATTTCTTATTAAATTATCCAAAGCCTGCTGCCTGAAGCATTTAAAGCCCAATGGCAAATAAGCCGTCCTGTTCTTGGGATTGTCCTGGGACCATGCAACAATTCAAAATCAGTTTGGCAAAACGTGGTACCAATGTTTTAAGATTTTTCCTATCTGCTTCCCACCAGGGAAGGACGCACAAAAGAAAAGCAAAACACTGGAACATCCAACTTCAGAAATGCTGAAAATCTTTGCAAGGTTATAAAGCGGCCAGGCCCCCCTGTGGGCTGAGTCAGGCCTGGTTTACTTGCCTTGGCACCCTGTGCTACGCTGGCAGCGAGCAGAGACAGCAGCAGTGAGGATGGACACACTGCTTGTTTCAGACCCCCAGAGTTTATGTCTCCTTTGACAAGAGGGGCCCATGGGACCCACACCTCCCCAAGCCTCACTCCTCATCCCCTTTGATAAAGTTTTTCCTTGTTAAGGTGACTCCACGGAATTAAGAATGTGCTTAGCTCACAGCCAGGGATGGTGCTCTCTTGGCAGATTCAAACTGAAATCCCAGCCCGGGTCTCCGTGTAATCACCAGAGTGGGAAGAGCACTGGTAGTGGCCAGAGCACACATTCCAGGCCACCGCAGACATATTTTGTGGTGATGGAGGCTGCCCATCGGGCACTTTTTTTTTTTTTTTTCAGATTTTGGCTGGGGCAGGGTTTGAACCCGCCATGTCTGGCATATGGTGCCAGAGCCCTACTCTTTGAGCCACAGGTGCCACCCACCAGGAGGCACTTTTTAAGGAGGATTTACTAGGGTGGCAGCGTTTGGCACTATCCTAGTGGATTAACTGTTTTCTTAGTGAATCTTCCTTACAACCTTGCCAGGTCAGTGTTACCAGCCGTGCTTACAGAGGAGGAAGCAGGCTCAGAGGGGTTGAGGGACTTGTCTATCGCACACAGCCTGGAGGTGGTGAAGCCAAGATTTGAGCCCAGATCCATCCCCACAGGTCCTTGGGAAGGTACTCCGGTGGCAGGCATGTCTCCTGCTCAACGGGCCAGCTCCGAGGAGGGAGGAGGGGGAGGTATCTCTCTGCCACTGATGAGAAGGGGCTCAGCTGCTTACAATGTCCACTGGATCCTGGAGTCGGGAGAATTCTTTCCAGTAGACACACACACACATCTAAGACAAAATTGGAATAAAGATGACAACATTAATTAAGGACTTACTACGGGCCTGGTGCTGGGCAAAGCATTTCACACACAGTAAGTGCTTAATAAAAACCTAATATTATTCTTATCTTGTTTAACTCGAACCATGATGTGAGTTGAGTAGAGAACTACGCAGAGTGTGCCAGCTTCTGTAATAGTGCCCAAATTTCCCAGGGTTAAAGTAAAGATCTACACTCTACATAGTGCTCCATATTCAGGGGTTCTGCATCTGTGGGTTCAACTGTGGATCGAAAATATTTGGAAAAAAATAAAAAGTAACAATACAGCAATAAAAAGAAGTGTAACAACAATTTACATACCATTTATATTGTATTAGGTATAATAAGTAATCTAGAGATAATTTTAAGTATACAGGAGGATGTGTGTAGGTCATATGCAAACCCTATGGCATTTTTTGAATTTGCTTTTTATTTCAAATTAATAGGAGGGTAGAAATTTTTGGGTTACATTGTTCTCACTTCCAGGAACACCATGGTATTTTATATCAGGGATTTTGATATCCAAGGGTTTTCTGAAACCAATCCCCCATGGATACTGAGGGACAACTGTGTTTCCTGCTCACATCACAGACCAGTGCAGGTCAACGTTAGGGACCAGCTTGGCTCCCCAGCTTGGTTCCCCAGCTTGGTTCCCCAGCTTGGTTAGGGACCAGCTTGAATGTAGCAGTTGACCCAGGTTGTGTGTTAAGGGATGAGGCAGACACAACTGCCATGCCCCAAGACTTTCCACTTTCCCTTCCTTCCAG